AAAAAAAAAAAAAAAATTGTACTTCAATACTAAACTCATCTGAATAAACAGAAAAAAGGGATCCATCCAGCTGCCCTGGAACTAAAGCCTCTGCTAAGGGCATCCTCTCTGCACTTCTGGAAGAGGAAACTGCACTCCTAGGTTCCTGTCACAGCTGGGTAGCTAAAGTGTTGGGAGACAGGCTGTGTTTGGTCCCTGGATCCACTGTCTCTCTGATATATGAGATTGGGCCAGACATTGTGTGTGAGCCAAATGCCAGCTTCTCTCAGGCACAATGTACTCGTCTGTAGTGTAGAAGTATTCGTGTGGGAGTGCTGGGTAGACGAAATGAGAAGTCCAGCCTGTGGTAGGTGATCCAACAGTGATTACAATGACCAATGATAACAATAACAATTACATTTTTTAAAGGCAATCTTGGACCTGCCAAAATCCTCCCTCAAATCTCTTCTTCTCTCCTCTTTTCTTGCCTTTCTCCTTCATCTTTCTACTTCCCCTTCCTCTTTCTCTCTTTTCTCTCCCTTCTCCTCTCCTCCCCTTCTCCTCTCCGACAAGCATGTTATGAATAACCCAAAGGGGTCAAGGAGGGCAGCTGGGATGGGTTGTGCCCCTTTGGGGGTTATTTCTTATGGGATGGGTCCTTAGTGAGTGCATCATGGCATGTAAGAAAGACAAAGAATTTCAAGGACCCACCCAACCCTCCATTTGCAATTGAGAAAACTGAAGGTCCAAGAGGTTAGGTAATTTGTACAAGGTCTTCGTCAGTCAGCATTAATGGTGCTGGGATTCAAACTGTAATCTGTTTCACTACAAGACCCATTAGGTTATTCTTTGCTGCACTGAAGTTTCAGTGGGCAAGGATAGGAGAAGGAAGAGAGATGGACCTTCCTGGTGTGGAGGATGGCTTGGATAAAGGCATAGAGACAGGAAAGTGCGTGGCAGATAAGGGGTTCTGGTCTTGGCTCTGCTTCATTCTAGCTGTGTGGTCTTGGGAAGTGTTTCAGCATCCCAGAGCTCTAGATTTCCTAGTTATAAAGTGGATCTTGCCTTTTCCAGAGGTACACATAAGATAATGTGAATGAGCACACTGCAAAGCTCCCTACCCAGGTGATGACTCCTACTCTGCTGTGATGTGAGAGGAAACAGGCTGTCCCTCACCCTCTCAGGCATGCTGAGCTCTGGAACATAAGAGGGTCAGGACAAGCTTCTGGGGGTATATGGCTACATGCTCTCATGTCTTTCCTTCTTCCCTACAGGGTGGGAGAACGTCTATGGCTTTGACATGACCTGTATCCGGGATGTTGCCATGAAGGAGCCTTTGGTGGACATCGTGGACCCAAAGCAAGTGGTGACCAATGCCTGTTTAATAAAGGTCTGGAGACTCCTCCTGGTTGGGCCTGGGCATGCTGGGAACCCAGCTGTGCCACCCTGGGAAGCCAGATCTGGGAAGGGTATGGAGTAGAGGCAACACCAGTCCCTGCATGCCCCCAGCCAGGAGATGGAACACACCTTGGCCATAGCTTGGGCACTCCATGGTGAAGTGCAGAAGATGGGTGGTGCTCTACTGAGCAGAATTGCTGAGAGCATGACTCCACGGTGGCACAGCTGATAGGATGAAGCCCAGAGCATGATCCCTTGGTGATGTGAGGTGCTGGTGAGGTAGGGTTGAGAGGCATCAAAGGACAGAATACTTGAAAGGCAGGTGGGGATGCTCAGGTTCAGGGAAGCTCTTTCCTTCAGAGTAGGGTATCCCTCTTAGAGATGAAAGTAATCCATTACCAATGGATTGTATGACTACTTACCTACAAGCTGTGTGACTGCCCCTACATTCCCACCTGCAAGTACTCATCTGACCAGAGCCAGACAGAGCTTCCAGCCACCCTCTTGAGCGTTTTTTGCTTGTACGTGTTCTAAACATCTCTTCATCCAAGTTTTTTCAGTGCAGATGAAGAATAGCCAATCAACATCCCGAGCACAGCAATCCTTAATGCATTCTTATAGTTCTTATAGTCAGAGATACAGTAAAAATTCAAAGTTCCCCTTTGGCAACCCTTCCTTCCAATCCTACTCTGCTCTCAGAAGTAACATAAGTTGAACTGAGCTTCTTAGTCCTTTCTATGTATCCATTTCAATGGGAACATATAATATATTGAACCATATAATACTGCTGATATTTTACTATTTTTTATCTAGAAAAATACCAAGTCCATATGGTTCAAGCTAATATATATTCAGTTGTAGATTTTTTAAATGAAAAAATATAGGCTCATTTTGCAGGACTTTCCCAATCCCACTCCCTCTGACTCTCATCTTCCTAAAACACACTTGTCTGTTGTGGCCTTGTGTACCACTTATCTTCTGGCAGGTGTGCAGGGGATGGGGTGGGGCGGCAGCTGGAGCATTCACAGTAAGATAAAGAAGGAAGAGCCCCCCAGGTGGCTGAGGATGAATGGAAATTTCTGAAGGACTGGTGCAAACTGCTGCTCCACCCAGATGAGAATTGTCCTTTGTCCCTGGACACAAGCCTTATTAAGAAGAACCATAATATTTGGTCCATAGCATCACTACAGCATTTAGAAGAGACCCCAGAGAGTAAATAAAAGTAGATGAACCCTCGTGGTTCTGATCAGAAACTCCCTCTCTTGTGTCACATCCTGCCTAAATAGTTTGTCTGAGAATACAAGCCTAAGATTCTGTGTCAACAAGGTTCTCACTACCTGGAAACTCATCCTATTTAAAGTCCACAAAAAAACCCAAACAAAACCCACTGCCACTGAATTGATTCCAACTCCCGGGGACCTCATGTGTTACAGAATAGAACTGCTCTCCACAGGGTTTTCTTGGCTGTAATTTCCACAGAAGCAAATTGCCAGGCTTTTCTTCTGTGTCACTGCTGGGTGGGCTTGAACTCCAATCTTTTGGTTAGTAGTCAAATGCAAACCATTTGTGACACTCATGGACCCTTACTCCAAGTCTAAGCAGCAGTAATTGTGAGTTATTTTACTCTTTTATTTCTTCCTGCCTTCTCCTCAGTTCCTGATGCCTCTCTCTCAAGAATGCCAAGAACAAGGAAAGTACACCCTCAAACAAGAAACTTATCCATAGTGCAAAACATTCCTGTAACTATTGTAGAACCCATACAAATTGACCTGTGCAATTGAACTTGCAGAAATGATACGTCAGCCATCGCTAAACATTAAGCACCTGCCCATAACAGGTTTAGCCTGAGAACAAATTAAAATTCCTTTCAATGCTCTTCAAGTCCACTTCTGCCCCTAATCTCAGCCCCCCACTTGCAGGTGTGGCCATGGTGCTTCTATATCTCTGCTGAGGGTCACATCATGGACTGGCCTGGCTTTGTCCCTCCAGGCCACATTGCTTGCTTTCTTTTCCTATCCCAGACAGGAACCAGCAAGGGTCTTTCCCTTGGTCACACCTGAGTGCACCTGGGCAAAGCAGCCAGACTTAACCAAGGCAGAGCAGGGGAAGGTGAAATTCAGAAATTCAGGCACATTCCTAGCAAAACTGCTAAGGGCTCTGACTATGTCTCAAGATTGGATATCTGTGATAAGTCCTGCCCTCTTTGTGCTGTCTGTTACTTTTCTTCCTCTCTGTGTCTTCTGGAGAAGGGTGACGATTGTCTGTGTTTGCTTCTGCAACCAGGAGAGCCCTTCCCGTCAGCTCTCGCTAATGTGCTAGGCAATGTCTTGCTGAGCCTGTTGGGTAAACACTTGCCCTTCTTCACACACTTAATTGCTATTTTCATTGCTATTAATGTTGCAACGTGTGACACTTTATTATAATTAAGACTCTGTTTTGACCAGACTTCTTCTCTGAGACATCCATTTTGTAACATTTAGTGGTAGAGATGGCAGCGGCCAGAGGCCCTTCTGAGTCATTTGTGCCTGTGGAGCCCTCGCTGCATGGGGTGATCTAAGGCCAGTCAGTGGGTCTCCCTGGGGTCTCAGAGATGGTGCTGTGGTTGAAGAAAGAAACTTTCAGGCAAAGAAATCTGTGTGCAGAATGCAGGCCTGAGCCCAGAGGGCCTGCCTTTGTGTCTAAAAATCCAGCCACAGCTGATCTCACCCTCACAGATGGCCTGACCACCTCCCACTCCAAAAGACCATCTGCCTCAATTGTCACTATTTTATCACATAGCTTTATTACTTTTGGTCTTGAAGGCCACTGTTCTTTCGGAAGCCCCTATTAAAATGCAAATGAATCTAGGACCTATTCAACACTGTGGGCTAATACCTGAGTTGATAGCTGACATTTAGTTGATGGACTCTGAGAGCAAGACCCTACAGAAATGGAATTCATGATAGATTGTGTGTGTGTGTGTGCGCGCGCGTGCATGCGCATGCACACGCGCACATGAACTCAGGCACATGTGCATGCACATAAGTTTGTGAAGTGAGGGGGCAACCATGTCAGGATGAGTCACAAGGCCCATTTCTGGTTCTTCCTGTTTGTGCCTAGGCCAAGAGGTCTGGACACTTTTACGTCAGCAATGGGAAGTAACTGAGGGTCTTATCCAGGGAGTGACCCAGTCTGAATGGACCTGAAGGAGTTGAGTGTGGTGATGGTGTGGAGGGAAGGAAAGTCTTCAAGTTTGAAGATTAATTAGTCAAATACTCATTACTGTGTATCATATGCAATAATGTGCAGTCTCTACCCTTAGTGAGCTCCAATCTGGTGACTGGGCAAGGGTGGAGGTAAGGAGGTTATTGAGATGACCAGGTAGGAAGGCCAGGTTAGGCTGGTGATATAGGGACCAATAGAGAAAGACATCAGGGATCTTGGAAAGGGCCTGACTCCTGACTGACCGTCCCTGACTGAGAAGGAGATGCAAAAGTTGTGAGTGTTTGGTTTGAAATCAGGAAGGTTTGATTTGGTTTAAAATCAGTGTTGTAACTTTTCATTATACTTATTCAATCTGTTTGCTGAGCAAATAATCCGAGAAGCTGGAACTGTGTAAAAAGGAACACCTCATTAATACTGGAGGAAGACTAATTAACAACCTGTGATATGCAAATGACACAACTTTCCTTGCTGAAAGTGAAGATGTCTTGAATCACTTACTGATGAAGATTCAAGACTACAGTCAATATGGATTATGCCTCAACATAAAGAAAACAAAAATCCTCAAAACTGGACCAATAAGCAACATCATGATAAATGGAGGGAAGACTGAAGTTGTCAAGGATTTCATTTCACTTGGATCCACAATCAACACTTATGGCAACAGCAGTGAAGAAATCAGATGTATTGCACTGGCTTCCACTGAGTTGGCCCCTGATTCATGGGGAGCCCATACACAGTTTTCTGAAATAAATCATCAAGACATTCTTCCTAGTTCCTCTTCATCTAGAAACTCCACAGAACCTGGTTGAGCATCATAATAACATGCAAATCTGCACTGAGAGACAACTGGTGGCTGTGCTTATGGTGGACTGGCCAGGAATAGAACCTTGGTCTCATGCATGGAAGGCGAGAGAATTCTACCCCTGAACCACCACTGCCATCTTTGGGATGAGAAGATGGAATGGTAAAGGATTGGTGATATCACTGTTTGGGGAATATACAACTTTCCTTTCCTGATTCTGTTACCTTTCCACACACTAACTTCTACATGGATAATATTGCTACTTGAAGTTGAACTATAATAAAATGAATTCCGCAAGTTTAAAAAAAAAAAAAGTCACAAGTACAGATTCTGTGAGCTTGGCAGACCATGCAACGCCATTAATAAAAATAGTTAACTACAGCTTGCTCTTAGGAGTCTTGAGCTGGCAGGAACTTTAGGACTGCATGTAGCCAGGAGAGATAATGAACATTATGAAGGCTGACAGATACTGAGTCTAAAAAGATCTCCCAGGCTAGAGCAATGGACCAAACTAATGGGATGACATGTAAGGAATGAGCCCTACCCTGGTGTCTTAGTTTCCTAGGGCTCCTATAACAAAATACCACAAACTATATGGCTTATAAGAATAGAATTTTATTGTCTCACAGTTCTGGCAGCTGGGAGTCTGAATTCATGGTGTTGATGTATTGATTCCTTCTGAGGCTATGAGGAAGAAACTGTTCCATGCTTCTATCCTAGCTTCTGGGCATGGCCCACGATCCTTAACATCCCTTGGCTTGTAGATGCATCACTTCAATCTCTGCCTCTGTCTTCACGTGGCTGTCTTCCCTCTGTGCCTGTCTCTCTCTGTCTCTTCTTATAGGGATGGGATTATGACCCCTTTCTGTACTCTGATATGACCTCATGTTAACTGACAACATCTTGAAAGGCTGTATTTCCAAAGTCACTTTCACAAGTGCTGGGGGTAAGACTTCAACATATATTCTTTGGGGACAAAATTGGATCCATAACAACTGAAATCCCAGAAATAAAAGAATAAGGATTGAGGGAGGGGTGTGTTGGAGGGAGGTTGGCAGACCTACATGCAATGTGAGCCAGCAGTGTGCAATTTGAGACCAGAGGCTGCTAGAAGTGTGCCCTAAACAAGCAGAGCATGAAGATCTGCTCTTGTTAGTATTGTTCTCAGTTTTGAAAGTGTTAGAACCCACCCATAGGGGGGCCAAGATGATGAGAAGTAAGAAATCATGACTTATGAGAAATGAACGTAAAACGAGAGGTGGTGTACACTGTAGAAGAAAAGATTTAGATGACCCAAGTGAGTTGGAACAGACATTTAAATTATTCTGTGAGTACAGTTACAGAGAGACAGTTAAGAGTGGGCTTTATTACCTTGAAGAAGGACCTAATGATTGGAGATGTCAGGAGATGGAATGAGCTACTTGGTAGTAGTGAATTCACCATCCTAGAAGGTGTTCAAGCAAGAGTTAGATGGCTGGTTATTGGGAAAGTTGGATAGAAGATTATCCATTGCATTGGATAAAGGCTCAGCTCAAGCACTGGCTTTATAGTCTGACTCTACATCCTCAACCCAGGGTTTACAAACACAATTTGCTTTTGCTTCCCTGTCTAGGAACACAGTGTAACTTGCATTCGAAGTGGCATTAAGGGGATTGGGGTTCCAACGTTTCCCTAACCCTGCCATCCCACCCTCTCCTTAACCAATGGGTTTGGGAGCTTCAGCATGTATGAGTACCCCAGGCCACAGCAGAACCTCCTGATCTGATTGGCCCCCTTACTCATATTTCCTGCCACCCCTGCAGAAGCTTCTCTTTGAAACCCTTAGGATATTTTGTCTTAGTTTTTCCTTTATGTTAGAAATACATAGAAATAAAAGCATGTCATTTTATCTATTCCCACTTCTTGTTCTGTTGTTGTTGTTGTTATGTGCCGTCGAGTCAGACCTGACTCATAGCGACCCTTCCTTGGGTTTCTGAGGCAGTATCACTGCGGAAGTAGATTGCCCAACTTTCCTTCCGAGGAGTGGCTGGTGTGTTTGAACCACCAGCCTTCTGGTTAGCAGTCAAGTGCCTTAGGCACTATGCTACCAGAGCTCCTACTTCTTGTTCTACCACCTTAGATTTCCCTTTTCTAAGTATTCCCAACATGTTCCATCATCTGATCTGGGTCCCAGGAGGACCACCTAGAACCATCCCAGGTACACAGCTGGCTGTCTAACTCTTACTGAGTTTCCAGGACAGAGATCCTTGCTATACAAGTCTGACAAGTGATAAGTTCCTCCCTGGGTCTAACTGAAATCTGTCTGCCTAACTCTTGGCCTCTTGCCAGGTTTGCCCTGTGCTTATTGGAGCCAGCAAAAGGCAGGCCAGCATCCCTTGCGTAGAAAAGTACAAACCATCCTTCAATTACACTTGCTCCCCACGCAAGATTGATTTTCGGCCACTTCCCAGCAGAAATTGTTAGCATTATTAGTTCTTCATTCCCCAGTCTGAAAGAACTGAAAATTCTCACTTCTTTTTTCCCTTTTTTTTTTTTTTTTAACAGTCTGGGCTTGTTATAAATGGTGCACCTAGTTTCCTAAGTGCAGTCTGTGACTTTCTGTGAGTTCATATTCTTACTCTTGAACTAATATCTGATGCCTTCTATTGCTGGGAATTTGAAGATTAAAAAAAAAAAAAGACAAATGGGTAGTCTGGTTCATCAGAATCATGAGAGGACTTGAAAAACACAAAAGGCTGGCCTTCAGCCCAGAGTTTCTGATTCAATAGGTCTGGGATGCCCTCCCAACCTCAACCCCCCAGTTTGCTCCCAGGTGACGTCGATGCTGCTCATCTGGGGACCACACTTCCAGAACCATTAGATGGACACTAGCAATGCTGAAGTGGACCAGCCAGAGGCTATTCTGACTTGGTCTAGGGATGCATTGTCTAATGAATCCTTCTCTTCTCTCCCCTCCCCACCCCCACCAACTCCCACACCCAGCACATTTACTTTCCTAATTCTGTTCTCCTCAGGTTTTGATTCAAATCCGTTTGCACCATTGCCTGAGCATACCCCACCCTAGAAAGGATGGAGGAGGTAATTGGGAGGGTGCTGGGTGGGCCTGGAAAGTCACCCCAAGAGTAATGAAATTCCCAGAGAGTCTGCTGACCGTGGTCTCTCAGGGGAATGAAGCTGTTGGCAGAGTGAGCTTTCTCTTGAGACCAGGACCCAAATCTGGTGAAGTTGATGTTTCTGGCGTTCTCTCTCCCTCGGGCTGCAGGAGGTGGACATTTACACAGTGAAGACTGAAGAGCTATCATTCACATCTGCGTTCTGCCTGCAGATACAGCGCAATGACTATGTCCATGCCTTGGTCACCTATTTTAATATCGAATTTACCAAGTGCCACAAGAAAATGGGGTTTTCCACAGGTGAGCTTTTTATTAATTTTGCAGTCCTTACCTTACCCCGGTGTGTTCTGAAGGCTTTGTGGGAAGGGGCTGTGGCTGGTCTCAGCTGGGGGCAAGGTGCTTGGGCATTAGCCAGGGCCCTTACTTGATATCTCGTAAGCTTTCTGCAGCTGGGAGAAAGTGCATGTCCAGTGCACTCTTGGCTGCCAGAGGAGGAGGTAAAGAAAATCATGATTGTGACAAGAGCTGATAGTGTATGTTTGGTGAGAGAGAGGCAGGAAGTGGGGCCCATGGATGGACTTTCCCAAGACTTTTCAAATGCACATTTATTCACTTAATTAATGTTTACTGAGCATATTCTATGTTCCAGACCCTGTATGGGTGTGTGTGTGGGGGGGGTGTGGGTGTGGATACAGAGTTGAAGAAAACTTCTATCTCTACTGCTATTCCTTAGTTTAGGACTCAACATGTCCTTTAGTGTACTGCACATGGGTCTCTATGTCTCTTTCTTTCCTTCCCTGCTTCCATTCCTATCCATCCTTCATTAAATTCCTGACTGTGTTTCCTAGCCACCACTACCACTGCCCAGCTTCCCCTCATACAGCTTCATTGCTTGTAGTAGATAAGCTCAGATTTCTTAGTCTGGCTACGTGGACTTCTTTGACCTGGCCCTAGGCCACTTCTCCAACTTCATTTCTCACCCTTCTCTTTACTGAGCCTTCCCAACCCCTGTCCCATAACTGCTACTCCACTCAAAGCCTCATACTGAGATCCTTGCAGCTTCCTGAACTCAGTGAGGCTTCTTAATTTTCTGGGCTGTTGCCTTTGCACACCAACTCTTTGCCCACCCAGGGTTTTCCACAGTTTGGAGGGTGGCTATTATTTGTCAGAAAGCTTTTGTCATCTCCCTTCCTCCCTTGTCCTCACTTCTTCATCTGACCAATTCCAGCACAAGCTTCATCTTTTAGCTCTGGGTTTATTTGATCTCTCCTTTCCCTTTGGGTCAGGATTAAGTGGGCTTCTCAGGGCTCCCTAACACCACATGCATGTGTCTATTGTGACAATGTTTAAAATGATACATATGCATAATAACAAAATAAAGCAGTACCCAAAAAAAAATAAAATAAAATCACTGCCGTTGAGTCGGATCTGATTCCTAGTGACCCCTCCTTGAGTTTCTGAGGTGGTATCACTATGGAAGTAGATTGAGTAGATTGCCCAATCTTCCTTCCAATGAGTGGCTCATGAGTTTGAACTGTCAGCCTTCTGGTTAGTTGTCAAATGCCTTAGGCACTGCACCACCAATACAGAAGCATATAAAAGTCAAGGAAAAATTTGTCTCCCTTGTCCATTCTAGTTCTGCTCCTCAGAGACATATATTATTAATGATTTCATGTGTATCCTTCCAAAAATTTTAATGGGTATACAAG